CCCCCCCCCCCCCCCCGCCCCCCCGTAGCAGGTGCAGTTTGCTCCGTTCCCAGCTTTGCTTCACGCTCCCAGAACCAGCCTCATCACACTTGAGAGATGCCAGCACCCGCAGAGCAGCGCCTTTCCTCGGGGCCTCAGTTCCAGCTCCTCGGGCCTCCTCGAGCCTCTAGCATGTGATAACCGCAACTGCTTGCTTTTGCTCTCCCAGCCCTAGGGATGGCGGCTGCTTCCTGTGCCCCTCACCATGTTCCGTCACCTATTCTGTCCTCCAAGACCTGCAATATTGACTTCTTACGTTAAGTTAGCGAGAACGACTTCTGCGTTTTCTACTTTGCTGACAAATGTTTGAGAGCCACAACTTCTTTTATAACCGTGGTTAAGAGCAAACTCTGAAATCAGCCACACCTGAATAGGAATCCCAATCCCTTTATGCAGTGCCTGGTAACTTTGGAAAATTTAATTTACTTCTCTCTAGGTCTCATTTTTCTCAATCACTTTCGTTTATTCAATCAACATTGATTAAACACATACTAAGTTCCAGGCACTGTGCTAGGCAGTAGAAATACAATGTTATGCAAAACAGTTAAATGCCCTGACCCCATAGAACCTTCTGTCACGTGAATCAAATGAGATAACACAGGTACGGCACATGTCATCCAGCCTTCCTCTCCATACCATGCCGGGAGAGCAAAGACAAAAGGGTCTGGAAGGATAAAGGTGTCTCAACAGCTAGGTCTTTCCAGAAAATGAGATGAGTGTCTTTCCCTAAACAAGGCTGAAGGTCTCCGAAAACATAACACCAGGGATTCATTGTATGTCCTGTCCATTCCTCCTGCTCGGAGCAGAGAAGCAATGACCTTGCAGCAGCAATCTTCAGAAGGAAATGGGGCAAACAGGCATAGAGAGGGAACACTATGAGGTGGCATTTTTTAGAAATTCTAAAGATATAGGTAGCTGTGATACAAGGAAAGAGCAACGTGAATTGCAATGCGGGGCTAGGACTGGGGCCCAGTGTGAGTGTGACCATTGGGCCCAAGTGGAAAAAGAGAGTAGAGAGCTGTTATTCCAACTGTAGTCATTACAGGAGTCTTCTTACCAGAAAGTGTAGATGTACATGCATGTGTATGTATCAAATGAACTGGAACTTAATTTCTGCTTTCAACAACAGGACTATACACCTAGAGAGGCCAGAGAGGTCATGAGGTGGAAAAGAAAGATCCCTGATTCCATTTAAACCTGAATCCAAAAGCCCCAGGCTGTGGGCAAGCAAAAGCTGGAAAGAAATCCAATCTCCACATTTGGACACAACCCGTCCTTAGTCTTCTGCTATCCAGATACCAGGCGTATCGTGGAAGAAATGGCCAGTGTCCTTGTTAGTGAAGAAGTATCCTGCAAGACTACTGTGTAGCTAAGTTCTTGAAAGTCATATCTGTAACATATTGATATCCTATAAATGCAAACTAAACTCTTCACCCTCGATTTTTTATTCATTTTGACATCACTGTGACCACGGAAAGTCATACTGAAGGAAAACAACCACAGGAAACGATTACTAGAAGGTCTATTCCACATCCCTGCTCTAGGGCCTCATTATAAATAATTTACTGTCATTGAAGGAATTTAGAAGCCCTGAAGACATGAAAAGCCTGGAGAGAGTTTTACTCGTAAATAAATACCAACGTTTCAACAATCAAGACAGCTTCAAATTCCAGGACTGTTGAAATGAACAGTATATACTGCCTGCATGATTTATTATGCTTGTGCTGATGGTCCAAATGGGGAGGATAATTCAATTCCACCTGAAGAGTCATTATAGGGCCAAGCCCCAAGAGAAGTACTTTGGATAAGAGGTGATATTTCTCAGCTTTTCCATTTCGAACAAATTATTATTTCTGTATTTGAGACATCACCCAGGCAATCTCCGTCATGACTTGTAGCACTCTTGAGCAATTAAAAAAAATTTTATAAGGTAAAAGAAGTAGGGGACAAATGCCAAATGCAAAATGATCCGCAGAATGCCGAAGAACCCTTCCCCCCAGAGAGCACGGCTGCCTCAGACATAAGGTGAAATCGTCCCTTCTGCTCAAGAAAACATAAATGAGCAGTGAGTATGCATCCCAGCAAGAACATTATCGCCTAGCAGAGGCAACCTGATAAATACAGACTTCCTCTCCAAACAAGTCTCCTCACAGGGAATGTGAGCAAAGGGCCCCTTCTGAGGTGAATATCACTTGGCAAAATGTCCTCACCGTGGCACGCGGCAGCCTTCCCTCTTCTCCCCTTACCACACATTCAGTTCAATTAGAGGGTAGAAGAACCTGTTTGCTATACGTCTTGCATTTGTCATGGGACATGCTGAGAGCCGACAAGGGCAGAGAGGCCCTGGCCTATCAGACCAGCGCCCCCCCCCAGGATTCCTGGGCTTACATACCATCCAGGCCATTGTGATGACTGTAGTTCCTTTTCCCCAAAATGCTCAGAGACGTGTGATTTGGGGTGGTTAGCATCCGCTTGGTAGTGGGGGTTTGCAGGCTTGGTGTAGATCGAATGACATTAGGTTTCTTCGAAGGATGGATCTCTGGCAGGGGGAGAAAAGGTTTCTCAACTCAGAGCATGGTATTAAAAATCTCTGTGTGCACTTACATTGCCTAATAGGCACACATCTTACTTCTTAATGAGCTGAGAGTCAGTTCCTTATGAGCCAGCCTGTTTTCCCAAGGACCTCCATAATGATTCAGCTTCAAGTGCTGTTACCATGGCTTTCCTTATCAAAAGTGAGCTGCCTCTTCCTCTGCTAGCTGGAGCTCTGAGCTTCATGTTGGGAGTACAAGCAACAACGACAACAACAAAAACCACCAACAGAAAGCCACTGCCGCTTCAGAAGGTCACTGAAACACAGATTTACTAAGGGAATAAGGCAGCCAACTCTTCAAGGTTTTAGAAATGTAAACATTATCTGGAGAAGTAGCCTGACAGAGAAAACTAACTCTGCTCTATCAAAACAAAAACATAGCATGCAGCATGTCTGGGGTGTGAGAGATTTCTGAAAAACAAGATTCCTCATCTGGCTCTGCAACCAGGGTTTAGGACCAGGGTTAATCACGGCCAGTCCAGAACATGTGGATACAGCTGAAACCTGACACCAAACTCCAAATTCTACAGTCAAGACGTAGTGGAAGAAAAGCTTTGATGGAGGATATATCACACAACGATAACGTGCATGTGGCATACTGTGTTTACATCAAGTATGTTGTTGTTGGCCACATAACCCAGAATTACTTGCGTATTTTGGATAAAGCAGGAGGACAGAAATTGCAGCCTATAGGAACTGGATTTGAGGATCTCAGTCTGTTACTGATATGGACCACCTCTTGTCCAAAGCTGAACCTGCTTACTGATTCTGAGTCACCAGGTGTGCACAAGCCATCCTGTCTTCCCAGGGGAGGGCCAGGATATCAGCCTCATTTCCTGAAACTCAGGAAAACGGTTAGGATTGTTAGAAGTACTATATCTTGGTCTGGTCAAAACTCTACACTCGCCCAAATTCAGGAACAGATCAAGGGCTAACCAAAATGGAGTGCTGATTTTTTTTCACCGTGGCATTGAAGGCTTGCCAACCTTTTCATTACAACCTCCACACTACACTCCTTCCAGACCAGACAACTTGCCTTTGGACTCACTGAACCCTTTATTTATGAAGTTCCCTTGGCCTCAGAAAGGAAAAAAAAATTTTTCTTTCCCTACTGTTCTACCTATTTAAATACTACTTTATCATTCGAGGCTGAGATCAAATACTGCTTTCTCCACGTAGGCTGCCGGAACTCTCATCATCAGAAGTCACTCCTCCTTCTTCTAACTGTCCAATGAATATTGCCTGTAATTCCTTTATAGGAGCTAATCATTTGCTTAATTGTCCTTACCTGTGTGCTTTCCCTACTAAACTAAGATTTTGGAGGGCAGAGTCTTACTCATCTTGGTGTTCCCCCAAATCAATTAGCATAGTGTCTTGTACGTAGTAAAAACTCAGAAATACGTTAGGTAGGGATGTGTTTCAGCTAGTAAGAAGAGGACGGCTTTGGGCTTATGTAGTAGGCACAAAGACCAGTTTGCCCATAGGAGGAACACACAATTACCCGTGGAAAAACTAATATGCAATGTTAGCTGCATATTAGAAATATGCAAATATTAGAAATAATTCTATTTCTTATGATCAGAGACTTTTCCTTGCATGGTGGGAGAAGGGGCTTGTAGGCTTACGTCCTGCAAGGGAATACAGACAGCAACCTTCGAGGACTTGATCACCATGACTAGGTCCTGCCTATGATAACCAGGTGATGTTTTCGGGGGCTATCAAAGCAACTCTTTAGGCTCTGAGAAATAAAACAAGAAATAAGGTGACCAAGTAAAATCAAAGAGGGAGCTGTGAGCTTCTGACTTTTGGATGTGCTGATGAGGACGAGATAATATACCAAGTTCAAGGCTACACTTTGAATTTTAAAGGCGTGTCTAGAGTCTGAACACTTCATAACTGTGTATCTTTCTGACAGAGCAATAAGGTTCAATGCAACTCTGAGTACCTCTTTCACTTTTACTGAGAAAATAAAAAAAGCAAGAATATTAGAAGCACAAAAACATGCCATTATAGCTCCTATGTATACCAGGAACCATTTTAGGAACCATTATTTTGTAAATTACCTTAACACTCGCAAAAAACAAAAAGAGGGTGACTGCCTACTGATTTTTACAAATACTATTCTTAATTGTGCTATTTCAACATGTATATGGAACCATCACCTTTGGCAACTTCCAAGTTAAATAAGATGATAAAAACCAGAAAGCAATACAAATGTTTCCCTTTCAAAGTAACTTTAATTGGTACATTAAAACCATAAATATTTTTTAAAGGTGGGTTAAAACCACTTTTATCTCATTAAAAAAAAATAAGCCAAGTGGAAGGATTTAAATCAAAACATTAAGAATATTCATCCTCTAAAAATTTAGTGATTCTTATTTTCCTCTTTTTGCTTCATCTGTATTTATATCCATAAATATACATTTTTATTTAATGATTTTTTTGGGGAAACAGTAAACATATCCATAACTGTGTGCATATGCTGTGTGTATATGTTTTGGTAATACAAAGAAAAGTTTCTAAAACAAAATAAATGGACTATATATAGGAAAGTATCCAATTTCAGCTACTTGAAAGGCTTGGATTTAGTTTAAGTGCATCAATTTAGAGTAGCCAAATACTGAGAAGATACCGAAATTGTTGTTTGAAATTTTCCCTCTGTTAGAAAATACCCACCTAAGTACCCAATGATACATGCCAAAGGTTTCCTAGTGCTTTTGCTTTTCAGTGGGCTTCCAGATAGTTCGGCATGTCTGTCTGCATCTGAGGAGAGAAGGAAACACGGAGACAACCAATGAGGCTGATTTCGCTACCTATACTACACATACTGCAGAAAAAAAAAAAAAAAAAAAAAAAAAAAAAAAAAAAGGTGCAAGTGGATGACGATGCAAAATATCCACCAGATTCCTGCATAGTTTCCTTTGGGTTTGAGAAAACTGTTTCTAGTTCTGGTTCCCAATTACTGAATGAAGGATTTACCTGGAGAACCCTCACTTTAAAGCCTCACAGGAGTATAGCTAACACACATCTTACACATGTACTTTGTTTCTGTGTGGGCCTATCGGCAAAATAGTAAAAATATGCTTCCTTTCTAGCCATGGCATTGCTTCGATACAGTAGAAAAACTTCTGTGCAGTATGATGTGAAACCAGTCCTCATGTAAGATGAATCTGGCGTAGAAAACAAAAACGACAGCTAACAGAGGCAACACACTTGGCCATCCTTGACCTATGGGAGTGAGGCTCCGCTGAGAAGTCTTCATCTCTCTTGATTAAACTCAAGTCCATTAGGTAAGAGCCTCACGCGGGTAAAAGTGGGTCACTGGCTTTATTGCTGGTTTTCTTATCCTTCATATCCTACTGTGATGTCACTAGTGCTGAGATTCAAAAGGTTCCCTGTATGTAGACAGAGTATGTCATCCATTAGTCAGAACATTACGATACTGAGAATGGATATTAGCATTCATAAAAGTTCACATCACGTTCCTCATACCCTACCAGAAGACATTTCTGACGGAGAAAAATAAAGCATACAACACAAACACTCTCTGTGTTGTAATTAGCTGTCATTAGGGTGGCAGAGTAGATGTGGAACATGACTGCTCTCACACCAAAGAGTTAAGGTACGAAAATACAATTTGAAGGGACCAAAAAAAAAAAAAAAAAAAAAAAAAAAAAAAAAAAAAAAAAAAAGGGTACTGAAATGTTTTTTAAATTTGCAGGTATTGTCATAAAGCTTAACAAGGTAGTTTTAGCAGTATTATTTTGCTACGTTTATGCTTTTTCCCCACCTTCAAATACTTGACAAAAATGTTCTGTAGGTTTTCTGTGGCTGAGACCACATTTTTAGGCGTACCTACAGAAAATTGCTTTTGACATCCATAGGAATATTCTGCACTATTAGTGTTAAAATGTGCAATTCAATCTGGAATCTCAAATCATTTAAAATTAAAAATTAACTTTTTCATAAGCTCTAGCCCTCTCACCAAGGAAACTACAATTTTTTTTAATGTTTTTTATTTATTTTTGATAGAGAGAGCATGAGCAGGGGAAGGACAGAGAGAGAAGGGGACAGAGGATCTGAAGTGGGCTCCATCCCGACAGCAGAGAGTCCAATGCAGGGCTTGAACTCAAGAACTGTGAGATCATGACCTGGGCCAAAGCTGGACACTTAACTGACTGAGCTACACAGGTGCCCCACCAAGGAAACTATTTTAACTATTAAACAGAAAGAGGTGGGAAAATAGTATTAAAAAAAAAAACCCATTTATAATAAACAAAGCACATATTGCAGACAGCCTCAAGTAATAGGAATCTGAATATGTATCCCAAGTACTGGCTAATTATTATACAACCATGGATAACTATAAATGATCCAATTTCTTTTCTGGCTCAGTGGATTTCCTTTGGAAGGAAAATTATTAAGATACGAAAATTTTCACCTGTTGTTGAACAGTAGTGAAAAGATAAGAAGAAATTCTAAGCATATTTTGGAAGAGTAATCTAAATAAACATTAAAAAGCAGCATGGGGGTTGCCTGGGTGGCTCAGTCGGTTAAGCACTGGACTCTTGATTTTGGCTCAGGTCATGGTCTCATGGTTCATAGGATCAAGCTTTATTTCAGGCTTTGTGCTGAGTGTGGAGCCTGCTTAAGAATCTCTCCTCCTCTCTCTCTCTCTGCCCCTCCCCCCCCAAATAAATAAACATTTAAAAAAAAAAAAAAACAGCACAAACCCTGCAGGGATCAAATACCTGCCAAATCTCTAGTATTTAATACTAAGTAATTCCTTCGTAATATTGCTAATTCACGCAAATTTCAAGTTAGACTTGGGATGAGGACAAGAGAAAATTTTATGTTTTTTATTAAGGAAAGAAAGCTTGAATGAATCAGACTGGTACTTCCTCTGTGTTTTGGACAAAGGCAATCGTTGTATTACCAGTAATACGACTAACTTCACACTTTGTTCCCGTGGATAAGGCCCAAAGGAAAACTGCCAATGTGGCTGCAGCTTCTGGACTCCCAAAGGACTATCACCTTGACAAGAATCAACAGAATGGACAGCCTATCAAAGGGGTCACCAGCACAGTACTAAAGATATTTCATTTGAAATTAAACTAATCTGCTTTTAATTTCTCATTAAATCAGTAGGATTAATGATGTGATGTGCCAAGTGACAATTTACAGAGCACCTGAGTGGGGGATCAAAGCTCTTTAGAAGGATCGCTAATCACCAGTATGTTTTAAAAGAAAGTAGTTGGTGGCAAGAATTCTCAGTCTCAACGATGAGGAAATCAGGATCAAAAGTGCTAAAACTACCTAGTTACTGTTTGACGTCACAACTGCACGCATTTCAGTGATACACTCTGAATATGCATGGGAAAAATACCTTCTGCCCCAAGGGAATGATCATAAACATAGGATTATCGGGTCCACACGTGAGTTGGTTAAACAGAATCTTGGTCTGCACTCAAGAGCAGGCCGGTGGTGCCACTTGTCAGTTGGTCCTGGCTCTCAAATTATTCACCTAACTCTACTGAAACACAGAGCATTCATTAGGATGCGTTAAAAGTGCACAGATAAAACAAGCCGCCTGAGAGATGCCCAAAGAACCCAGAAGGAATAAAAATTTGCCCAGAAAGAGGGAGAACATGGGCTCCTCACTCAAATCACTTGGTTGCACACAGGCACATTTCTTTGGCTTCCTAGAGTTGCATCTCCTTGAGGTAAACCTAGAAAAACACTATTGCTTTTATTGCAACTCATGGTCATTTTTCTATAATGTTTTGGAAATGTGTGTGTGTGTGTGTGTGTGTGTGTGTGTGTGTGTGTGAGTGAGTGAGATGGTTGGGGGAGGGAATAAAACAGAAAAACTACAAAAAGTACACACTGAATTAAACTACCCCCACAAAAAGTAACATCTCACATGGGCTTCCAAGACTGTTGTCAAAATAAAACCACTCATAGAATTTTCTTAAAGGAATTGCAAAAGCATTTCTATTTTTATGTATTTATAAGAAAGCTTCCTGCCCAGTGTGGAGCCCAACATGGAGCGTTCATGGACCCAGACCGGGAGACAGGACCTGAGCTGAGATCAAGAGTCTGACACCCAACCAACTGAGCAACCTAGGCAATCCTGCAAAGGCATCTTTCCTTTTTTCTTCCTTCCTTCCTTCCTTCCTTCCTTCCTTCCTTCCTTCCTTCCTTCCTTCCTTCATCCTTCCTTTCCTTCCTTCCTTCCTTCCTTCCTTCCTTCCTTCCTTCCTTCCTTCCTTCCTTCCTTCCTTCCTTCCTTCCTTCCTTCCCTTTCTTTCTTTCTTTCTTTCTTTCTTTCTTTCTTTTCTTTCTTTCTTTCTTTCTTTCTCTTTTTCTTTCCTTTCTTTTTCTTTCTTTCTTAATGTTTATTTATTTTCGAGACAGTGAGCAAGCAGGGAAAGTGGAGAGGAGAAAAGTAGCTGAGCCTCGCTGTCAGTGCAGAGTCCTAGGTGGGGTTCAAACCACAAACTGTGAGATCATGACCTGAGCTGAAATCAAGAGTCAGATGCTTAACCAAATGAGCCACCCAGGCATTTTGTAAAGAAGACGTAAAACCTAGGTGCCATTAAAAGAAATGATAAATTCAACTGTTTAAAAAAAAAAATCTGCTTGACAAATTCATCATAAACAAAGTCAAAGGCAAAATGGAGGAAAATATTTGCACCATTTATCACAGATCAAGAGCTAACTTCCTTAAAATATAAAAGTTCTCACAAGTCAGTAAGACTTCTAATAGAAAACAGGCCAGGGGCAAAAACAGTTGACAGAAAAGGAAATACAAATGGTTTTCAAATATATGCAAATATTTCTAGCTCATTCAAAATGAGAAATGCAAACTAATATAACTTACGTGTCACCTGTCAACTAGTCAAGGGTTTCAAATATGAGTAACACTGATGGCAAGGTTCTAGAGAAACAGGCATTCTCTGGACATCGTGGGTGGGAGCTCAAATCATAGTTTTTCTAAAGGTTACTGGGTAGTGACTATTAAAATCTCAAATGCATGTTCTTTGACCCAGATGTTCTACTTTTAGAGGTCTGTCCTGTAACCTACATGCACATTTCACACATTAGTATGAAATGCTATCTGCATAAGGATATTTGTTGCAACATTACATAACAGAAAATAAATGGAAATAACCTAAAAATCTGTTTAATAGAAAACTGGTTAAAATAAACATACAACAGATTATGTTTATTGAGTGTTGACCCTTGATTTTGGCTCAGGTCACAATCCCAGGGTCATGGGATCAAGTCCCTTGTAGGGCTCTGTGCTGAGCATGGAGCCTGCCTGAGATTCTCTCTCTACCCACCCCTCCCTCTTCCCCTCTCCCCTGCTTGCTGTAGCTAGTTGTTTTCTTTTTTAATGTTTATTTATTTTTGAGATGGGGGAGTGGAGAGGCAGAGACAGAGGGAGACAGAGGATCTGAAATGGGCTCTGCGCTGACAGCAGAGAGCCCGATGTGGGGCTCAAACTCATAATGAACCGTGAGAGCATGCCTTGAGCCGAAGCTGGATGCTGAACTGACTGAGCCATCCAGGAACCCCTCATGTTTAAATTTTTAAACATAAAAAAATTTATTTTTAATTTAAAAATAAAATTAAAAATTAAAAAAAGCCAGGTGCAGAACAATGTGGACATTAACATCTGTATTAAAACACAAAAAGAATACACCTCCTTAGACTGGTATAGATACACAGAATATCTCTGGATACTTTACATGCTATGACAACATTTACACTCTGAAGATGGTAGAAACGGGAATGACAGTAAGATCTGTAACCACTTTTGTATCTTTAGAAAAATTTAAAGTATCCATTCAGAAATAAATTTTTATTACAAATAAACTACCCCAAATACCAAAACTATTCTCTCCTAATACTGGAATTTGAAAATTTCACACAACTTTATATATATAAACTTTTGCTGAGAAATCCCTAGGGAAAAAACTCATAAAATATATATTAAAAGCTTCTGAATACAGGCCCTTGGGATACTTCCAAAGTTGAATTAACATCTTCAAACACAAAAAAGTGGCTCCAGGGGTCTCTCGAGGAGCGTCATACTAGGGAATGATGGTCATTCAAGTCACAAACCAGTGAGTCACCCACGCAAGCTCCAAGGTGGCAGGTCAACTCCTTGGATCCACTTCCCTTGGCACTTTAGCTTTATCTATGGAATGCTGCTCATAGAAACCTCAGTTTCTGAGGATCCTGAATCTCAAGTAGTAACCCTGTGCTCATCAGGTGTTGGGTGATTTTATGAATCTTTGATAAAATCATCGGGGAGCTCAGTGGTAATGTCTGATGGCAATAACAAAGGAGGAACACCATTATCACACTGTGGCTTTCTTACTGGGTGGGATGGGGTGTCAAGGGGGAGAAGAGACAGGCTGTCTGAAACTTGGCAACCCATGCTGTTGGTCTGCAAATCTTGTCAAGGACACAATACTTCTCTTTCTGCAACGTTTTGGTTTTTGGTCTACCAGTCCATGTTTAATAGCACTATCTATGTGGTAGAACTGGCTGAGGCATTTAGTGTATTAACGTTAGTAATAAGTAATAGTAAATGTTAGTAAGTAATAAGTCATGGACTTACTATATATTTACATATAAAGGTGTATCATTGGGGCACCTGGGTGGCTCAGTTGGTTAAGTGCCCGACTTTGGCTCAGGTCATGATCTCATGGCTCGTGAGTTCGAGCCCCAAGTTGCGCTCTGTGCTGACAACTCAGAACCTGGAGTCTGCTTTGGATTCTGTCACTCTCTCTGCCCCTCCCCCCACTCACGTGGTCTCTCTCCCTCTCAAATATAAATATTAAAAAATTTTTTAAGTGTATTATTAAACAAATAGATATTTGGGGAATTTGTTTTTTTTTAAAAAATCACCTTCTGGGGTGCCTGGATGGCTCAGTTGGTTGAGCATCCAATTTTGTTCATGATCTCACAGTTCATGAGTTCCAACCCCATATCAGGCTCTGTGATGATAGTGCGAGCTTGCTTGGGATTCTCTCTCTGCCCCTCCCCTGCTTACTCTCTGTCTTTCAAAATCAATAAACTTAAAAAATAAAAATAAAAAATCATCCTCTCTCCATAGATCTCATATGTATATATTTTTAAACATGTTGATCATACTATATATTTACGTTTTTAAAATTGTTTTTTAAAATAGGAAATGTACTCCCAGGGCTCAAAGGTGAAAACGTATAAAAGGATAAACAGGAGGAAGTCTCCTTTCCACACCTTTGCCTTAGCCTCCCAGTTTCCCTTCCCACAGATACTATTACTTCTTACATTTTCTCTGTGATACTTTATGGATATACAAAGATTCCCCTTTTTACTCTACTGTTTTAATACAGTTTTCTTAATGAAAATAAAGGCCAGAGGGTGCTATTTTAATAATAAAAAAAAAACCCAAAAAACAAACAAAAAAACCAAAAACATTTTCTCTAAAAGGATCAACTTGTTAAGCACCAAGTTACGATTATGATCTGCACCATCTGAGAATTTATCTCATTAGCTCTTCACTTCACTCTTATGCAGTCTGTCACCCCATGAACTCTGGCTAGGACACTGGCTGTGATGGGGTTGCCAAAACCAGAAGCCATGGGAAGGGTCAGCTTGTACAGTGCTCAGAACTCTCAAGTTCCCAGGGAAAACGATTTACCTTCGAAATATTACGAAGAATTATTCTAAAATGCATCAACGAGAGCTCTTGATCCATCAATATCTATAGAATTACAGACTTTCATCTGATCTGAAAGTACATCCATACTGCATCATAGGGATTCTTAACTTTTTTTGAGGAGGGATGGGGGGGGGGTCACCATTGCCCTTGAGAAACCAAGGAAAGCTTACTAAAAACATAAATACACCTATACATTCCCACTGGACCAAAGACACGGTTGCCTCCAGACATCAGGTTATTAACATCTCATCTTCCCTGTAACAAGCCAAGATCAAGGACCTGCTGAGGTTTTAACAAGGTACATATAAGAAGGGAGAAGATGGTGTAAGAATCAATTAGACGCTAGAAGAGTTCATTAGTTGCCTGTCTGAAAAAAAAAAAAAAAAAATGGATGGCTGCTAAAACTTTGTAATTTTAAATTTCAAGGTAAAATTATTCTGAAAATCTGATCCTATACATAACTTGACCAATGAAGCAAAATACACAATAAAATATGCTCCTTGAATCTCATCACAAAATGACTCTGTTATTTTATTATTATTATAGCTATATGTTTATAGAAATAAAACACATGTAATTTAACCTTGGACCCCTCCCCCCAACTTTTTTTTAGCAGTATGGCCTTTCAATTGAGAATACATAAAATGAGGTAACAGAAAAATATATTTCACTGAAGAATAATCAAAATAAAGGAAACCTGCAAATTTACTGAGAGGCTAATGGAAGAGCCATGGGAAATAGAAGCTTCCTCAGCTGCCAATTTAGTTGATGATGAATTCTCTTCCATTCATTGGAACAAACAGGATTTTGGATCCTGGCCAATTTTAATGGAAGAATTTCATTCATTTCTTCTCATGTTTTATTATCCTGTTTAGTTAAGAAATTATATAAATGTGTTTTAAATCAGCTAAGCAGTTTAGATGAATGTAAATATTTCCCAGTTTCTTAAGATGGGTAAGAAAGTGATAAGAGCATAAATTCATGAATTCAGAAATGCTAGCATGAAATTTCCTATCAGCCTAAGTTCCAAATATACATGAGTCTAATGTAGCTAAATTTCCCTCCATGGGACTCAAGAGAGTACTACCATTTTCCACTCTCTTTACACAGCACTTTTCTTCTCCTTGTAAAGCTTTTACCTGTAAGTTGTAAAGCCTTTCAACCATTCTGCTGAAAATCACCTTTAGGAACAAAAAATGATTTGCAATCATCACTCCTTAAATGGATATCCTCTTTAAATCAAAATGGAACATCTCATAATAAATTTCTTTTCTCACAAAGAAAAAGCATCTACTCAATGTTTATAAGATTTCCTCTATGTTAAGCCAGACAACAAGTTTTCTCATCCTTCAGGGGAAGAAGTTGCATGGTCTAACATGTCCGCCAGGCATGTGACTAAATGTAGCAAGGCTAGAATCAGAGCCTAACACACAAATTATGGACACATTTTAGGGGTACATGGTAATAACAGAACCACCCACAATTCACTTATATAGAAAACCTTTGTTCTAAGCAAAAAAATGAAACATAAGCAAGACTGAACATGTTGGAAATGAGAGTCACAGTCATGGAAATGTTACACGGTAATATATGTATGATTATGAAATGGAAACCAAATTGGACGAATAGAAAGAATGCTCAGCCACAAATATGGTCACTAGCCTATAAAAACTAAATACAAATGTTCAGAAAATGCACCCACAGACACTCAAGTTCATTTACAATTTGTTAAATCTTCAAAGAATTGTAGTGTTTGTAATGCAGCTTTGTGAATTTCCATAATACTGTAGAACTGTAAAAGGTTCATGGGAAAGTGAGAGGTTTACAAAGACAGGCAATTTCTAATTAGCGTAAATTGGCAACTTTTATTCAAACCTAACGAAGCCAGGTAAGACTGGACTGCATGTCTCAACCCTGGAGTTGCGCTGTGACGCCATCCTTAGGGATTACGTGGCGACACTACCTTATAGGTGAAAGCGTCTCTTCAGTAAGGGTTCTTAGGCACTTCCATCACAAAACCTCACTGGGCAAGGGCACCTCCCACCAATTCTCTGCCGGGCACTATTCTCTCTGCAGAGGGACTGCAAGAGATTTCAGTGTCTCCTTTTCAGGTTGGCATGATACAAATGGCAGCAGACAAAAACAATGTTAAAAAAATAAACCAAATAAAAGGCTGTACACAAGAACTTATGTTTATTGCAAACAAACAAACAAACGAACAAAAAAAAAAAAAACAAAAAAGAGAGATAGAGAAGGAGAGAAAATGGTCAGAAGCACAACACATAAGGTTAAGAATTTAAAAGCATCTTACATTCTGCCCTAATGGCAGCATAATTAATAGGAACAAACGGCCGTCTTGCTGCCTGCCGCAGCCGAAGGGTATTTTTGCAGACCTGACGAGCAAATTTTGTGAAATATGTAGTGTGAAGGAAGAAAGCTTGGCGGGTCTTCACTGCAGACTTGGGGCTCCCAGTGTTTCGAACTGGCATCCCCTGCATGGCCTGGCGAGACACATGACTCCTGACACGAGGGTCCTGCAAAATCAGACACCAATAGACATGTGAAAACCAGAATGCTATTTGCATCAGGCTCAAAAGAAAAGGCAATTTTAAAATTTTCCCCTGAACTTAATACTCTACCCCCACAGGAGAGAATTTAAAAGTATGCACTTTTGGGAAGAGGGTCGGGGAGGTGGGAGGGTGTGTGATCATATTTTTGTTTTTTAAGTTTTTATTTTAAACACACAGTGTTACATTAGTTTCAGGTGTACAACAGAGTGATTCCACACTTCCATACATCACCCTGTGCTCATCACAAATGCATTCTTTCCAGTATTTCTGTCTTTAAATGGACCTTAACAATCCAAAATCACATTCACAACAGTAAAAGTTGCCAAAGGTGTTAATTAAATTATCTTATTTTTTTAATAGTGAAGGAGTCCTGAAATCCTGTTAGCCCTTAAAGAGAAGTCTCCCTCTGAAAGACATGGGTCTACAGACGTAGACATTGCCTGGTATCTGCAACCTACAAGAATTTTACCAAAATTGTATTTCAACTCAAGATTGAGTCCATACCACTTTCTCGTCCCTCTATGATAGCCCAGGGCAGAAAAAAGGTTCAATTTGTATTTATTACTTTATGTAGTAAGGCATAGTTTCAACAGTATTCAAAGGTTGCAAACTGTTTTCAAAAAAGCACTTAAAACATTAAATTTGCAAGCTTTCTACTTATGCTAACACCTCCCACACACATTGTTCTTTTGCCTGAGTAATCACACAAGACCAATATTTTGAATACCTGAAAAAATCTGATATGTCCCTTCCTCTCTCTCTACGCCCACCTTAAATCTTGTGGTGCTATGTTTAGTTATAAAAAACAGCTTTGTTTGTTTTTAAGTGATCCTATACTGTACTTCTGTTTCCAAGGAGTGACCCAGCCATTGAAATGACATTTCTCAACATAAAAGACTATTACTCATATACCTCTGTAGTTGGGCTGGGAGATAACTTCTCTTCTTCTGACTGGGTGGGCATTTTCAGGCCTCCATATTTTTTCCAATAGAGCCAACAGGTTGCACACAATCTACACTGCATATTAGGTGGGCCCCAAGAATACCACTGATGAGACTGTGTAGCTAAAGATAGAGGAAAAATAGAAAAAACAAAGAATGCTATATAATTTGTAACATTAATACACCTACCGTCAAATATTTTAAAAAATATTCCAAAGCCATATTTAGCTTACAATGTTATTTTTCTTTCCCCAGTCCACCCAAACATAAAGTCTAATACACACATGTAGTTTTCAAGATTCAGAATTCATTAAACCTTTTATTTCTATATATATGTGTGTCTGTGGCTCCTGTTAAAAGAGGCTATTAGATGAAGTATCCTATATAATATGCTGTGCTATCACTGAGGGAGTTTTGTTGATTAAAAATACTCTCTACTGTGTACATTTCTGGAAATGAGTTACCAGAAAGATCATTATTATTAGATTAATGTTTAAAGTCTAAATCTAGGTTTCCAAATTGATGGTTCAGAAACTACCTCAGAGTTTAAGGTGCTCAGAGGGGCCCCAGTGATTAGGGCAGGAATCTGTCAGAAATGGGTATGGGGGGCAACTGGGTGGCTCAGCTGGTTAAGGTCCAACTCTTGATTTTGCCTCAGGTCATGGTTTCACAGTTCATGAGATGGAGCTCACAGCATGGAGCCTACTTGGGATTATCTCTCTCCCTTCTCTCTCTCTCTCTCTCAAACTTAAAAAAAGAATGAAATAGGTATCTGTTTTCCATTTCATTATTTTAATCGATGAGCAAAATAATTATTTTAATATTTCTCCCTTTCAAAACAGAATACCTTTCAAAACCGTTAAGTCCAGATCAAGTGAGCATAGCAGCCTAGATCACAGAATGCTTAAGACCTAATAACTCGGCTGATTTATCACTTAGCTAAACACTGCAAGCCTGTGTCGGTTTTGTTATGCAGTCTGAATTACTGCCACATGACACTTAAAGTATTCTATTCTCACAATGGATGTGAAGTTTAAGACAGAAAACACTGACACTGAAACATTAAGTTAATGAGGTACATAAAAATTATTATAATTCTGTAAGTCTGCCTTGGAATACTCTTCCTCTTGTAAGTTACCTTCATCAGGTCAAAATGTTCAAATAGCATATCAAGGTGTCAAATAACACTTCACAAGTCAATATCAAAAAGATAAAATATACTGACCATTATACTCAAACTGCTTCTTAATTGTTGTTTTTTTAAAATTTTTATTTCAGAGAGAGAGAGTGCAAGTGGGGGAGAGGGAGAGAGGGGAGAAAGAGAGAGGGAGAGAGGAGGAAGAGGAGAGAGACAGAGAGAGAGAGAGAGAGAGAGAATATCTCAAGCAGGCTCTACACTCAGCACAGAGCCTGACATGAGGCTTGATCCCATGATCCTGGAATCATGACCTGAGCCTAAAATCAAAAGTCAGACACTCAACCAACTAAGCCACCAAAGGTGCCCCAAAGTCCTTCTCAGTTTATTGAGAATAATACTGTATACATATCACGTGTTATTTCTGGTGGACTCCTTGCAGATAGCAGGACCTTCCCTTTTATAATTTAAAACATTTAAGTCAAATAAGTTGATTTTTTATTAACACGAATTTTAAGAATCCTAAATATTAGGCATGGACCTATTTTGGATTCTGAATATGAAATTTCACTCATATTTAAAGATACATTTTTACTCATGCCATGTCATTTTAATGTTTATCAACAAACATCTTTCCCCTTGCATAATTAACTCAAATTAAAAAGTGACAAAAAGAAAACACCATATAAAGATAAATTTTACATGTATAAGATACATTTTATGATAAATATTACTTAAGGAGTCTATAAAATATTAGAAAATAAAAATTGCTTATTTGTCATACATGCATAAAAATGACAGAATAATTCTTTTAAGGGATATGTGAGACTACATGAGTCTAAAAGGGGTAAGACAGATTAGGGGTGCCTGGGTGGCTCAGTCGGTTGAGCGGCCGACTTCAGCTCAGGTCATGATCTCGCGGTTCACAAGTTCAAGCCCTGCGTAGGGTTCTGTGCTGACGGCTCAGAGCCTGGAGCCTACTTCAGATTCTGTGTGTCCGTCTCTCTCTCCCTCTGCCCCTCCCCTGCTCATGCTCTGTCTCTCTTTGTCAAAAAAAAACAAAAACAAAAACACAGATTAAGCCCCAATTTGTTTGTAGGATTTTTATTTTCATTTAAATATACATAAACTTCAATATCTAAGAGTTTCCAATTCAAAGGCATCCATGATGCAACACATAGAAAATTTTGACCAGAAGAATCTAATATTCCCAAAACAATTCCCTTTTGTGCTTCCGTGGTACAGAGAAATGGTTAGGCATGTACCATTTCTATGAAGTTGGCAATTTGACTCACACTTTCCTTGGTTTCAGGTAAGATAATTATATGACCTAGTTTTAAAAGTCTTTTCTAGACTTTGAAATCTTAAAAAATAAATAAATAGAAGTATTTTTCTAATGCTGAAGCTTGGCATGGAGTATGGAGCAGAGGCACAAGTGTTCTTCATTCCTACGTCCTTAGGGCAGTAAGCTATGTTTATCCTTCCAAAGAGCTGCTGAGAGACAAAAACTGGGCACCAAGTAGCCTTTCAATAAAATTAGTTTCTTTCCCTTCCAGGCCACTTTGTAAGGAAATATAGATTATAATGTCACTAATGTCCATTAAGAGATTACGTGGTTGTTTGAGATTTTATTTTGTAAATTTTATTTATTTTGAGAAAGAGAGAGAGAGAGAGAGAGAGAGAGAGAGAGAGAGAGAGAGAGAATGCTCACGTGCTTAGGGGAGAGGCAGAGAGAAAGAAGGGAATCCCAAGCAGGCTCCGCACTGTCAGAGCAGAAGAGCCTGACTCGAGGGTCCATCTCACGAACAGATCATGACCTGAACTGAAATCAAGAGTCAGACACCCAACCAACTGAGACATCCAGGCGCGTCAAGATTTTAAATAATGTAAAAATATAAAAAGTGAGGGGTGCCTGGCTGGCTCAGTTGGTACAGCATGAGACTCTTTACCTCAGGGCTGTGAGTATGAGCTCCATGTTGCGTGCAGAGATTACTTAAAAAAAATAAAATCTTAAAACACACACACACACACACACACACACACACAAACACACACACACACACACACACAGTAAACAAAAACAAAACAAAACAAAACAAAAAACAAAGAACAAAAGCAAGATAAAAAAACCCAAAATTGTACCAATTACTTCATCTCACCAAACCAATTTAACATCCGGGTCAAATATAACGTCTGTCAGTGTCTGACAGGTTTTGACATGGATAAATACCAATAAATATACTGGGGCCCTGAAAGCAAAAAAAGCAAACACCCTAGAACAGCATCTCCCAAACCAGTGCATTCTGAGGGAACCTGGTCTGAGGATTAGAAATAGCAGTTTATCCACACACAGGTCTTTCTGACAGGATTTTCTGGAGCCTTTAATTTGTCAAAGTGTACTAAGAAACTCCAAAATTGGATTTGCTCTATTCTGTGGGACTGTGGCTTGCACAAAGCTAATAACCACTCTGCGGCTTAGCAAACACGGCTGCGGAATACTCAACCAACACAGGACTCCACAGGAGCAAAGCAAAGGAAACTCAATAGCGAAATATAGTGTTCAGGTGGACGGGCATGTATTCGTTCCGCTGCTCTCTGAGCAGCGCCGTGAAAGGACACCCCCCACCCCTCAGTGCCATCGCAAATGTGCCGCAAAGGAGAGAAGAAAGGCCTGCTGGAGAAGTCTTACCGTAGCAGCTCTCACAGGCTCGCCCTAGGAGGGGGTTCTGTGGCTGGAATGTGGTCCCCACGGCTCCATTCACGGCACCAGGTTTGCCATTGCTGGCGGATATTTGGTTGGGATTTGGTTTGCTGCTTTCAATGAAATATAAAGGGAGGTGATAAAAAATGACTTGTATAACAAGGCAAAAGTCTCTGTATCTCATCGTCGACTTAACTACATATAAACATCTGAAGGTTTAGTAAATAAGAAATAAGCTGGTAAAAATAAGGTGTTAAAATGAACTCAAACCATTCATCTTTGCAAAACAAGGCCCTGTAAAAACCAATCTCTTATGCCTGATAGAAAATAAACAGGGCCATTGGCTCTTCTCCATCCAAATACAATTTCCTTAGAACACCTTCTGCTGCTTTTAAAAGATACAAGTTCCGGGGCGCCTGGGTGGCGCAGTCGGTTAAGCGTCCGACTTCAGCCAGGTCACGATCTCGCGGTCCGGGAGTTCGAGCCCCGCGTCGGGCTCTGGGCCGATGGCTCAGAGCCTGGAGCCTGTTTCCGATTCTGTGTCTCCCTCTCTCTCTGCCCCTCCCCCGTTCATGCTCTGTCTCTCTCTGTCCCAAAAATAAATAAAAAACTTTGAAAAAAAAAAAAGAAAAAATAAATAAATAAATAAAAGATACAAGTTCCTAAGCTTTATTACATGAAGCTTTATTATCATGAAGTCTCCTAAGAATAAAAGATAATTTTTGGGGCCAAATAAATGAAGCCAAAGCAGAGTGTTGTGTTTAGAGAAAACCACTGTGCCATCCCTGCTGCAGGTGTGAAAGCTGCAGACTCTGTGCATTGTTGGCTCTTGAGTGGAAGCTGTTGGCATTTCAGGAGATTTAACCAGTTATGATAATAATTTCTACTGCTATATTTCAATTTTTATGAGGAAGACAACAATAGCACTTTAAATTAGGAAAGCCAACACAATTTGAGTTTTTCCTTTTAAGAAAAAATTTTTAGGAAGAGGAAAAAGGAGACACCTATCAAGTATCTACATGTAAATTTCCCAGGCCATCCTTCCTTAGACATGGGTAGCCCAGATTACCTTGTACTTACTGTGCAAACACGGCTAACTTTTCCCCGTGTAGGGTAAGCTAATTCCCCTGCTTATAAAGCTGGGCCTAAGAATACAACACAGGTGCACATGACATGTTCTCAATAAACTCATAATTCATTAAACATATTTATTCAGTGCCTAGTAAACAAAAGTGCCTGACCTCAAGGAGCTTTCATTCTAGAGGAGCTTCCACTTCTATTTACTAGACAGAAGATAAGCAAAATAAAGTGGCCAACTATTTGTCAGCAATGAATGCTGAGTGACTAAATGCAGATTATAGTCTATGTCCCCACAGCTACTGAAATAATGAGAGTTCACAATTAACAACACACTTGGAGTTTCAACACAGAATTGGCTCAGGAGTTTCCTCTTTGCTGTTCTCTGTTTCTTCAATTCCATTTACCAGTGAAAGCCTATTGTATAAACTTGGCCTGACGGCAAATTACGATTTCTTTCTGGCATTGGTACTGTAACTCTTAGGTGACACCCCTCCGCCACCCCAGAAGAAATCATTTAACTCCGAGTGCACTGAGGTCCCTATTCTGTAACAGGGCTATTATTTACACTTCTAACCTGTGCCAGCAATGTGTTTTCAAGACCATTTGTTTTTTAAAACATATTTTAAACAAGACAGAATGCATTTTTCTTCTTAAAGTTTGCAGCTGAAAACATACACAACTAAAAGTGGTGATTTATAATGACTAAGATTTCTAAGGGTGTGTAATAATATTCAATTTTTAAAAATCTACTATATATAGATAGAAGTGATGGCCCCTTAAATCAAATGACTGGTATCAGAAGGCTTCCCCCCAAATATGAAAATTTCTGACATTTAAACCCAGGCTAAATATATGTGTTAAAAAAGAGCTAATACAAATTCACAATTGAGCCGCCTTAAGCAAACACAATTTTAGTTGTTCAATTGAATTTTGAATGTTATTTGACTCAATAAATCACTGATCTTCATTATAACTGTAAAAGGAGAACAAGTGTGCAAAGACTCAATGAATATAAATGTGTGAATCACTTAAAATTAGTTCTGCAAATTCAAGTACCTACAGGTTAATTCTCAGGTGACCAACGAGGTCAATGCGACCATTTGAATAAACTTACTCTAAGACAAACATACCAAAAAAAGTTTTTTTGTTTTTTTGTTTTTTTTTAATTTTTTTTTTCAACGTTT